AAAGCTGGAATTTATAAGATGCCACACTGACTGACTGTGATTACAATTTGTGTGTTTTTTGAACAAAATAGAACGTATCTGCAAATAAACAAACATCTTGGATGAAATGATTCACCCCATAGATTTATATATGAGAGTGTGTGTGTGTTTGGGAGAGAGAGAGAGGGAGAGAGCGTATGTGTGTGTGAGACAGAGTGTAATAAGTAATTCAAAACAGTATAAACTAATTAAGGTAGACAGAGAGATTATAACAATTTATTAAGGTGATGGTGACAAAACAGGAAAGTAAGGAAGATTTTACAGATACAGAACAGTGTGGTGAGGTCACCTATAGCGCGACATGAACCCAATGTCACGGTTGAGGCCGTCTTCATGGGTATGAAACTTGGCTATCAGTCTCTGCTCGGCCATTCTGCGTTGTATTGTACCTCGGAGTCCGCCTTGGAGGCTGTTTACCGAAGATCGGAGGCTGAATGCTCCCCCGATGTACACAAAGACTGTTATTTTATACAACATACAGGGACTGATATTCCCTAAAATATGCACAGTAACAGTAACTGCTCTTCTGGATATTTTACACGGAGAATGTTATTCTCTATTACATACAGTGACTGCTACTCGCAGTGTATACAATAGGACTGTTATTTTGTATATTACGGGCAGTGTTACTTTACACGGGGATTGCTTTCTGTATATTACACACAGGGACAGCTATTCTCCTGAATACACACAGGATTACCGTTCTCTGCAATACACTCAGGGCTGTTAGTGGCAGTACCTGGGAGTTGGGTTCTGGGACATTAGTTGCTGTGTCCCGGGCTAAGGTGGGAAACTCTCTCTGGCGACTCCAGGGCTGAAACGGTGTACCATCTCAGCGGCATCATCCTGGGGCCCCGTTCCCCAGATGGAGGGAGATCAGAATAGGGCTTGGCCCGGGCTGAAGGGTGAGACCAGGATCCTGCATGAACTGGGGGGCTGGGGAGGGGGGGGGGTTGTGCTCAGGGAGGGGGATGAGATCAGAATCACAGAATCGGAGCGAGTTCATCCCCGAAAGACAGGGAGAGAGATTCATGGTCGGACGGTCAGAGGGGTCCGGGCGGCGGGGGGTCAGGGACTGTAGGAGGGGGGTGTCTCAGGGACTGGGGTGGTCAGGACTGGAGACGGTCAGGGACTGGGGACTGTCAGGGACTGGGGTATCAGGGACTGGGGTGTCAGGGTCTGGGGGATCAGCGTCTGGGCGGTCAGGGACTGGGGGGTCAGGCACTGGGGAGGGACAGGGTGTGGGGGTCAGGGACTGGGGGTGTCAGGGACTGTGGGGGTCAGGGACTGAGGGATGGTCAGGGACTGGGGGTGTCAGGGACTGTGGGGGTCAGGGACAGGGGGTTAGGATCTGGGGCTCAGGGACTGGGGTGTTCTGGGACTGAGAGTCAGGATCTGGGAGGGTGTGGTCTTGGGGTGGGGGAGGATGTGGGGCACAGGAGAATTGGAGTGAGGGGTGTGGGTGCGTTGGAGGGTGAGAACGTATTAGTTTTTGGGGCGAGGGGATATTTTGCGGAGGGGTTTTTCGGAGCAGTTGAATTCGTGGGAGTTGCCAATGTCTACTGTTGGCAGGTCTCGGCTCTCTGGCCGAGGGGCAGCGCAGGAGGAAGAGGACAGTGTTCAGCAAGTGGCAGCTTACAGCACTGGAACAAGCCTTCATAGTGAGCCCTTACCCTGATATCCACAGGAGGGAGAGTTTAGCTACAATCACTGGGCTACCAGAGCCTAAGATCCAGGTCAGTGCAAGTGACGGTTTCCCAGTTTCTCGTAAACAATCTTTGCTTCTGTTCTGGAAAATAGTTACAGCATAGAAGATAATTGTAATGTCAAACTTTGGCCCTGAGCTTATTGCAAAGGTGGTCGGGTGTGTGACAAAGAGGCAGAACGTGATCATATTCACTTCAGACTGAAGTATGAATTATAAAGCGATGGATAATGTCTGAATTACACCGTAACTCTCGCGCGTTAATGCACAGTGGCACAGTGGTTAGCACTACTGCCTCACAGCGCCAGGGAACCGGGTTCGATTCCACCCTCAGGCGACTGTCTGTGTGGAGTTTGCACATTCTCCCCGTGTCTGCGTGGGTTTCCTCCAGGTGCTCCGGTTTCCTCCCACAGTCCAAAGATGTGTAGGTTAGGAGGATTGGCCATGATAAATTGCCCGTAGTGCTCAGGGAGGTGTAAATTAGGTCGGTTATAGGGGGATGGGTCTGGGTGGGATGCTCTGAGGGTCCGTATGGACTTGTTGGGCCGAAGGGCCTGTTTCCACACTGTAGGGATTTGATGATTCTATGAAACTATCCCAACATACTCCTGGTGAACAGCCCACACTCTACAAACTCCAGGGTCTCCCAAACTCTCCATTTAAAGCCAAACGCTGACAATCGGAAACAGGGAATGCTGCAGGAACTCCGCCTGCCCGGCAGTGAGTGGGGAAAGGGTCAGTCCGCACCTGGACCATTCGCTGTCCCAGACCCACTGAGCTCCTCTGGCATTCTCTGTGCTTCTTCCGAACAGGTTTCCCGCTTACTCCTTTCATTGGTTAAGCTTTCTCGGGAAGTTAAAATTCTCCTCCTAGTTTCTAGATGCCCCCAGGGAGGGCTACCCCCCCGTCCCAGATAACCCTCAGCCTCACGGGGTGGGGGGGGAGGGGAACGGTGGTAAGGACGCTATTTCTCGGCCATTCCTGACTTTTTCAACTCCCCCTCCCATTCCTCAGACGACATGTCCATCCTGGGCCTCCTGCAGTGCCACAACGATGCCACCCGAAGGTTGCAGGAACAGCAACTCATATTCCGCTTGGGAACCCTGCAGCCCAATGGTATCAATGTGGATTTCACAAGTTTCAAAATCTCCCCTCCCCCTCCCGCATCCCAAAACCAGTCCAGCTCCTCCCTGCCTCCCTAACCTGTTCTTCCTCCCACCTATCCCCTCCTCCCACCTCAAGCCGCACCCCCATCTCCTACCGACTAACCTCATCCCGCCTCCTTGACCAGTCTGTCCTCCCTGGACCGACCTATCCCCTCCCTAACTCCCTACCTACACCCACCTTTACTGGCTCCATCCCCGCCTGTCTGTTTCCTCTCCACCTATCCTCTCCTCTATCCATCTTCTATCCGCCTCCCACTCTCTCCTTATTTATTTCAGAACCCCCTTCCCCTCCCCCATTTCTGATGAAGGGTCTAGGCCCAAAACATCAGCCTTTCTGCTACTATGATGCTGCTTGGCCTGCTGTGTTCATCCAGCCCTGCACCTTGTTGTCTTGGATTCTCCAGCATCTGCAGTTCCTACTATCTCTTTATCTGCTGTTTGCTCAGCTCCTGCAGACTTGGGGCAGAGCCCCTGGAGGGATGGAGGTGGGGTGGGGGTGGGGAGGGGAATCCCGGGGGAATGGGCCACATAACCTGGAGCTGGGAGGTTAAGCGGGAGGGTGGGTGTGGTGACGGTGCGGGGAACATTGGGCAAATCAAAATGAGTCTCGGGACTGCTCCAGCCTGTCTGGCCCAAACCCTTCGCTGCCCCATCTTCAGCTCAAAAACCACAGCTCAGGGTCTGTCACAACTCCAGCCGCTCAGAGCTACCAGCGCCTCACAAAAAGCAGGGACTTCACGCAGACAGGGACGGAGGTGGGAGAGCCCTGTTGAAGTCTGGATCCTGCTGTCATTGGGAATGGAACCCAACCTCACCACCCCCACCCCCACCTTTACTGGGACAGACAGTGACTGCTGAGAAATTCCACACAAACATTTCAACCTCCCAGTAGAAAAAACTTCATAAAGTTGGGATTAGAACATCACCAGCCAATAGTGAGTGCTGACCCCAACACTCCCACCGTGAGGTAAACAGGGCTCACTCTCCCTACACTGTCCCTCTTCCCTTGTCTTTAACTTTCTCTGCCTCTCTTTACCCCGCTGTTTCTCTCCCTCTCCCACTCCCACAATTTCCCCCTCCCTTCCTCCTTCCTCCTTAACTCTCCCTGTTGTGTCCATTATTCTAATGAAGAATTCCTACTAAACCTGCCAAGACTTTAATGGGACTTGGGGGGTGGGTTGGAGGAGATGTGTGAGGAGAAGAGTGGGAGATGAAGGGGGAGTGGGAAGGATGGGGGTGTGGAAGATGGAGGCAGTGTGGGAAGGGTTGAGGGAGAGTGGGGGATGGATGGGAAGTAACAGTGAGAAAGGTAGAGGGGGAGTAGGACGGGTGGAGGGGGAATGGGAAGGGTGGAGGGGGAGTGGGAACGGTTGAAAGGGAATGAGAAGGGTAGAGGGGGTGTCAGAAGGGTGGAAGGGGTGTGGGAAGGGTGGAGAAGGTGTGGGAAGGGTGGAAGGAGAGTGGGAAGGGAGGAGAGGGAGTGGGAAAGGAGGAGGGAGAGTGGGAAGGCTGGAGGGGGAGTAGGAAGGGTGGAGGGGGTGTGGGAAGGGTTGAGGGGGAGTGGAAAGGGTAAAGGAGGTGTGGGAAGGGTACAGGGAGTGTGGGAAGGGTGGAAGGAGAGTGGGTAGGGTGGAGGGAGAGTGGGAAGGGTGAAGGGGGAGTAGGAAGGGTGGAGGGGGTGTGAGAAGGGTGAAGGGGGAGTGGGAAGGGTGGAGGGGGTGTGGGAAGGGTGGAGGGAGAGTGGGAAGGGTGGAGGGGGTGTGGGAATGGTGGAGGGGGTGTGGGAATGGTGGAGGGGGACAGGTGGAGGCACAGTGTACCTGAATTGAAATATGTCCAAACCTGTACAAATGGTTTGCTAACGTTTTGCTGATTTTTCTCCAGGTCTGGTTTCAGAACCATCGAGCTCGATGCACCAAACAGCAGAAGGTGGTGAAGAATCGCCAATTGTCAGATCCTTGTCTACAGTCAGATGGTCAGTTTACAGCTGCTGCTAGAAACCCTGGTAGAAACACCCAACCAAACCGAGCTGCCCTCTGCACCAACCCCGTTCTGGGGAGATCCAGCAGGAACAGCTCCCCACTGCAGCAGCAACAACAGTCCTGTGCGGCCACTGTCTCCCCCAGCTCCCTGGACCAGTATCTGTGGGAGACTAGTTCAGATTTCAGTTCCCTGCATCAGCCAGCAGGCTGCCACATTTCCAGAAACAATGCCAGTCAGCTCACTCCCAGCCTCAGGTTCAGGGATAAAGGGAACTCTGTGGCTGTCTCCAGAAACTGTGCTACTGATTCTGCCCAGTTCTTAGTATCTGACCAAGTGATGCCAATGCTAAAACCAGGCCCTGGAGAGCAACAGGAAGCAGGAATACACACCTCCCTCCGCTTGACCTCTGACCTCATCTACAATGCTGCAATTGTCACCAATGTGTAATCTCCACTGTCCTAAATCCTGAGGGAACCACCAAGCAATTTTCAACTGCCCAAGACTGCACATCATGTAGTGCAAACCAACACACCCAGTCTCTTGATGCAGATACACTGTGACACAGCACAGATTGCAGGCCTTAGGAATCTCTCACTGCCTTTCCAGACATCACTGACAAACATCCTGAAGGAGGGACTCTGGCTCATTTTCCATCAGCATGTTCCTAACTCAACTCTCCTCCATTGCACATCAGCAACTCAGAGGAACAAGCGTATGGCTTCTCCAGCCCCATAACATGTGAC